GGTGAGTGCGGCCAGCTGCCACCACCCGGTTATCTTATTGATTCTTCTAATCACCCAAGGTGGGTGGATACGTTAAAGAGTAACCAGTCACTTAGGGAACCTGCGGCTGGGGACTGTTGCTGTCTCCATGGCAATGGCGACCTGGCCAGACCTGAGGTCCACTCGGGTCCCAGTCCTGCACTCTGGGGTTAGGGGAACCCAGAGCCAGGTGTGTGGGGGCATCAGCCCCCCAATTTGAGGACAGGGCCCGAGCAGAAGGGGCTGGAGAGGTGAGAGTCCAACCTGGGTTGGGTTTTATGGCTCCAAACTATGGGTGTGTCACCATGCAGGAAGTAGTGGGAAAACCGAGGGAGGGGCAGGTGGAGAACTGTGTTTAGTGAGTGCCTACTGGATGCTGGGAGCTGCATACAGGCGTTATCACATTTAAATTAAACCTTGAGATGAAGAGACTGAAGGACAGAAATTGCATGCCTGGAGTGTCACCGCTAGTACATAGAGGTGTTATCTTGCTTTCATCTAACATATTTATTGAGCACCTACTATGTGCCAGGCCTTGTGCTAGGTTCTGGTGATATGGAAATGAGCAAAGTAGATGTACCCCCAAAACTTGTGGACTAATGGAGGAGACCGACCTTAATCAGATCGTCATTCAAAGATACTGTTACAAACTGGAGGGTGATATGAGGGGTGGAGAAACATGGGTCTGCCTCCAGGCCAATGGGACAAAGTCATCCTGCCTGGCGCCTCCTCTGGTCTCCTTCCCCATTCTAAATTCAACCTGCTGCTGAAACCTGCACACCCTGTTTTAGCTCCCTGACATGTTAGACACCTACCACCTAGGTTTTTTTTTTGGAACAGCCCCATTTCTTTTGTCTCAATTTTGGATCTCACCACCTGCTTGGGGATTCTGAAATCAAGGTCATTCATCCTGTTAGAGAGAACTGAAATGAGAACAGTGAAACAAATTCTGGACTCAGAAAAATCAGAAAACTCCAGCTTTACTGTTTCCTTGCTGTATGTTTGTTGGTAAATTATTTCATTTCCTTATAGAAACACCTCGCTCATAGTTTGCCCTGCCTCTAAAATAGCTAATTGATACATTCCTATTTTCTCCTCATAGTCTCTTTTTTCAGCTTTATCAACCACCTGAGAGGGACCTTCAGCCCCTATGGATGGACTTGGGTTGCATTAAAATGCCCTTTCTTTTGTAAAACAACAGTGATAACAAACGTTAGATTTTGGGGCTGGGCGTGGTGGCTCATGCCTGTAATCCCAGCATTTTGGGAGGCCGAGGCGGGCAGATCACGAGGTCAGGAGTTTGAGGCCAGCCTGACCAACGTGGTGAAACTCCGTCTCTACTAAAAATAAAAAAATTAGCCGGGCATAGTGGCACACGGAAGGCTGAGGCAGGAGAATCGCTTGAACCTGGGAGACAGAGGTCGCAGTGAGCCAAGATCGCGCCACTGCACTCCAGCCTGGGCGACAGAGAGAGACTCCCTCTCAAAATAAATAAATAAATAAATAAATAAATAAATAAATAAATGATCGATTTTTTTTTTAAAAGTATTAATATTCTTGGTCGGGCGCAGTGACTCATGCCTGTAATCCCAGCACTTTGGGAGGCCGAAGCAGGTGGATCACTTGAGGTCAGGAGTTCGAGACCAGCCTGGCCAACAGGGTGTAACCCTGTAACCCCATCTCTACTAAAAATACAAAAATTAGCTGGGCGTGGTGGTGAGCCCCTGTAATCCCAGCTACTTGGGAGGCTGAAGCAGGAGAATCGCTTGAACCCAGGAGGCAAATGTTGCAGTGAGCCGAAATTGTGCTACTGCACTCCAGCCTGGGTGACAGAGCCAGACTCTATCTCAAAAAAAAAAAAAAAAAAGTATTAATATTTCTATATGCGGGTGGGGGAAGTTTGCTAACCCTATGTCGATTTCCCAAAATGTTCTAGAGATTTAAGTGTATGTGACCCCCTGCATGAAGTGGCATCATGGGGTCACATAACTAGGAAGGAGCCGACACAGAACTGGAATTCAGCATCATCTGACCCCAAAGTCTGTGCTGTTTTAACAGGTCTCACATCGCCTTCTTGAGCACCAGGATGATGAGAATGACAACCACTGGCATTTATGAACTGGTTAGTTTTGTCAGCATTGTATGTTCTTAATGTCATTGAATTGTCCCAGTCAATATTCCCATTTTACAGATATAAAAACAGGCTCAAGAAGCTTCATTGAATCTGTTCTTTTTTTTTTTTTTTTTTGAGACACAGTTTTGTTCTCTTGTTGCCCAGACTGGAGTGCAATGGCACAATCTCAGCTCACTTCAACCTCTGCCTCCTGGGTTCAAGCGATTCTCCTGCCTCAGCCTCCCAAGTAGCTGAGATTACAGGTGCGCACCACCACGCCCAGCTAATTTTGTATTTTTAGTAGAGACGGGGTTTCACCATGTTGGTCAGGCTGGTCTGGAACTCCTGACTTCAGGTGATCCACCTTCCTCAGCCTCCCAAAGTTATGGGATTACAGGTGTGAGCCACCGTGCCAGGGAAGAGACAAGCAAAAAGTGCCACTGTAAGGTGGGAATTCCACGTGATCTCTTGGGTTTTCCATTTCTGATACTGCCTTCAAGAGCCCATTCCAAAAGATAAAGTAGGAAAGCTATAGTCTAAGAATAATGAACTCACAACAGTGTCCTTAATTCTCTCTCTCTCTCTTTTTTTTTTTTTTTTTTTTTTTTGAGACACAGACTTGCTCTGTCACCCAGGCTGGAGTGCAGGGTTGCAGTCTTGGCTCACTGCAACCTCCACTTCCTGGGTTCAAGCAATTCTGGTGTCTCAGCCTCCTGAGTAGCTGGGATTCCAGGCATGCCCCACCATGCTTGGCTAATTTTTGTAATTTTAGTAGAGACAGGGTTTCACTGTGTTGCCCAGACTGGTCTTGAACTCCTGGCCTCAACTATCTGACTGCCTTGGCCTCCCAAAATGCTGGGATTACAGGCATGAGCCACGACGCCTGACCTCTTAATTCTCTTATTTCACTCATTTCCAGCATTTAGAAATTAGTACTCACTCCACGCCTCATTTATCTCATCTGTAAAATGGAGCAATAGTATATGTGCATGCACTTGTGCATTGATCTAGCCTTCTGCAGAGCAGGGCCCAAAGCACTGTTAGTTCCTTCCCCTGGTCTTCCAGTTGAGCTGGTTTTCCTCTCACCCACCTTCCCCCACCCAGTTCCCGTTCCTTGTCTTTTGACCCTCTTGGGAGCTGAGAGAAGGAGGGACCAGAAAGAGCCACTACTCGGGATCTCAAAAGACTTTATTGGGGGGTGAGATGGGAGGGGGTGACATGCACAGGATGAGAAAACTCATTCCATCCGGGACAATGTAGGGACTCCACGGAAAAGGGCCTGTTTTCCATCCCAGGTCTTCAAAGGAGGAGCTCTCCAGACAGGCAGGGAGTGGGCCCCAGCTGCAGGGCAAGGTCTAAGGGAGGAGATTTTACTATCTCTGGAGACAAAAGGACTTTTGTGTGGTGGGATGGCGGGGAGAGGAGAAATGGTTTATTGGAATGAGAGTAAGATGATATGGAAGAAAAAGAATCAGAGACGCAGACAGAAACAAAAACAGGCAGAGATAGAACAGACAGTAGACAAAAGAGAGAGACCGAGGCAGAGACAGAAAGAGAAAAAAAGGCCCAGAGAGGGTCCCCTCAGGCCAACTTTGGTTTTCACTTCTCAGTTCTGAGAGCTGAGGAAGTGGGAAGGGGCCGTCAGAGACTGAGCTCCAACCTTGGCCATCAAAGACAAGCTGTGCAGCTCTGGGTAAGTTACACCCTGCTCTGAGCCTCAGTGTACCCATCTGTAAAAAGGGGGGCCTGGACTCTGTGGTGGCTCCAATACCATGCGGGGGGGGTGGGGGGGGGGGATGTCCACAAGCCAATTTCAATGTTTTTTGAAATCATGGACCTGAAATGCGCCCAACTCAGGGAGGGAATCACAAGTCCTCAAAGGCTACCCAGAAGCTGGTTTACTGTTATGGAATGAATGAAAGCAGGTTTCCTTCCTTCCTTCCTTCCTTCCTTCCTTCCTTCCTTCCTTCCCTCCCTCCCTCCCTCCCTCCCTCCCTCCTTCCTTCCTTCCTTCCTTCCTTCCTTCCTTCCTTCCTTCCTTCCTTCCTTCCTTCCTTTTTTTAGACAAGAGTCTCGCTGTGTCCCCAGGCTGCAGTGCAGTGGCTCGGTCTCTGCTCACTGCAACCTCCGCCTCCCAGGTTCAAGCGATTCTCCTGCCTCAGCCTCCCGAGTAGCTGGGATTATAGGCGAGAGCCACCACTCCTGGCTAATTGATGTATTTTTAGTAGAGATGGAGTTTCACCATGTTGGCCAGGCTGGTCTCAAACTGTTGACCTCAGGTGATCCACCCACCTCAGCCTCCCAAAATGCCGGGATTACAGGTGTGAACCGCCACACCTGGTGGAATTCCTTTCATTGGATGGACAAAGTCATTTGGCTTTGGCAAAGCCTGAGAGTTACAAAACTGAGGTGCCAGGTTTTTTGTTTGTTTGTTTTTAAATAGAGATGGGGTATTGCCATGCTTTCCAGGCTGTTCTCCAACTCCAGGACTCAAGTGATTCTCCCACCTCAGCCTCCCAAAATCCTGGGATTATAGGTGTGAGCCATTATGCCTGGTCCTAAGGTGCCAGTTCTATGCCTTCCAGCCTTGGTTCTCTGAGAACTGAATTAATGAAAGATGCAGGACTCTTTCCCGGAGGCCCAAGAAAAGAAAGATGCAACTAGGAAAGAAGGAAGGCAAGGAGGTCATCTTCTTTTGACTCATGTTGGACATTTAAGAAAGGGAATCTAGGAGGGAAAATTAAATAGGGGGTAATTCTAACTCATCTCCTTTAAAGAAGAAATTATTTCTCCACCCAGTTTTTTGAGGGCAAGACCTGGAGGGTCAGGCCCAGCTGTTGGCACACCAAAGCCCAGAGAAAATTCAGAATCACGGGAGCTTGTTGGATTTCAGCCCATTGAAGCACATGTTGCTATTGCAGCTACCTTGGTAACTGGGGGGACAGGCGGAGCACGGCCTTCCCATCTTGTATGGGGCCTCGCCAATCCAGTTGCCTCTGGAAGAGAAAAGGTCCCAGGGAGACAGAGGAGCATTAGGTGAGCAACCTTTACACAGATGTCCAGATCTCAGCGCTGCCACTGACCAGCCCTGGGACCTGGGGCAAGTCATATCTGCAAGCCTTGGTTTCTTTTTTTCTTTCCTTTTTTTTAAAAAAAATTTTTGTTTTGTTTTTTGTTTTTTGTTTTTGAGACAGGGTGTTGCTGTCACCCATAGCTCACTGCAGCCTTGACGTCCTGGGCTCAAGCAATCCTCTCAACTCAGCCTTCTGAGTAGCTAAGACTACAGGCACGTGCCACCATGCCCAGCTAATTTTTTAATTATTTGCAGAGATGGGGGTCTCGCTATACTGCTCAGGCTGGTCTGGAACTTCTGGACTCAAGCAGTCCTCCTGCCTCAGCCTCCCAAAGTGCTGAGATTATAGGCATGAGCCACTGTGCCCAACCTGTAAACCTTGGTTTCTCCTGTAAACCAAGAGAAGACCTCGTCTTTCTCTCTCAGGGATTCAGCAAAGATCACATGTATGTATGCACCTAGCACTGTGCCTGGCCAATCAGTGCCTGGCCAATCAGTGCCTCCCCTGTAAGGGTTGATTTTCTTATTCTTTTTCTTTGTTTTGTTTTGAGAGGGAGTCTCACTCTGACACCCAGTCTGGAATGCAGTGGCGCGATCTCAGCTCACTGCAGCCTCCACCTCCTGGGTTCAAGCGATTCTCATGCCTCAGCCTCCTGAGTAGCTGGGATTACAGGCACGTGCTACCACACCTGGCTAATTTTTGTATTTTTAATAGAGACGGGGTTTCACCATATGACCAGGCTGGTCTCGAACTCCTGACCTCAAGTGATCTGCCCACCTTGGTCTCCCAAAGTGTTAGGATTACAAGCGTGAGCCACCGTGCCCAGTCTTTTTCTCCCTCTTTCTCCTTTCAGAGCCTAAAGTTGTTCCTCTGGCCCTTGCTCGTGGCTGCCTGATAATCTCACCACTGGCCTGAGACATTCATTATCTTTGCCAAGCCCCAATGCCTTGTTTTCTCACACCTTAAATGAACACAGCTTTGAGCAGAAATAGAATCTTTTTTCTCCAAACGTGATTGTTGAGTGACCATGAGTGAAATCAGCTGAAGCGCTCAGAAAAACATTCACTTCTGGTTTCCTAACAGGACTCATTCAGTCATTTAGTTATTCAACAAACACTTCCGGAGCACCTGTTGAACATCAGGATTTGTGCCAGCTGCTGTCAGTTCAGTTTTCAAAAGGTGCTCTCAGAAGTTTGGGGGCAGGGAGAGTGGGTGGTGGTGATACCTGGGATGACATGGAGTTCTTTTTTTTGTTTAATTTAACCACTTAGAAAAAAGTTCTGCTTAAAAAAACAAAGGGTTGCAATTGCTGTAGTAGAAGGATATAGAAATGAAAACGGTCGGCCGGGCGCGGTGGCTCACGCCTGTAATCCCAGCACTTTGGGAGGCTGAGGCGGGCGGATCATGAGGTCAGGAGATCGAGACCATCCTGGCTAACCCGGCGAAACCCCGTCTCTACTAAAAATACAAAAAAATTAGCTGGGCGAGGTGGCGGGCGCCTGTAGTCCCAGCTACTAGGGAGGCTGAGGCAGGAGAATGGCGTGAACCCAGGAAGCAGAGCTTGCAGTGAGCAGAGATCACGCCACTGCACTCCAGCCTGGGCGACAGAGCGAGACTCCGTCTCAAAAAAAAAAAAAAAGAAATGAAAAAGGTCGATTTCCCATGCCCAGGAGTTTATAACTTAGTTCTAGTCATGGCCACCATTTATTTAGCAGGTACTATGGGCAAGGCACGATAGAGGCTTATTTTATTTTATTTTGAGACAGTCTTGCATTGTCATCCAGGCTAGAGTGCAGTGGCATGATCCTGGGTCACTGCAGCCTCCGCCTCCTGGGTTTAAGCGATTCTCCTGCCTCAGCCTCCCAAGTAGCTGGAACTACAGGCACGCACCACCATGCCTGGCTAATTTTTAGTAGAGATGGGGTTTCAACATGTTGACCAGGCTGGTCACTGACCTCAGGTGATCCACTTGCCTTGGCCTCCCAAAGTGCTGGGATTACAGGCGTGAGCCACCACGCCCGGCCTCACATTATATTTTAATCCTTAAATTCTGTGAGCCAGGTAGTATTAACCCCTAAAGGGGCTGGGCTTGGCGGCTCATGCCTGTAGTCACAGCACGTTGGGAGACTGAGGTGGGCAGATTGCTTGAGCCCAGGAGTTCCAGACTAGCCTGGGCAACATGGCGAGACCCCGTCTCTACAAAAAACGAAAACAGAAAACAAAACGTAAGCCAAGCATGGTTGTGAACACCTGTAGTCCCAACTGCAGGGGAGGTTGAGGTGTGAGGATTGCTTGAACCGGGAAGGTGGGGGTAGCAGAGCTGAGATTCTGCCACTGCACTCCAGCCTGGGTGACAGGGCCAGACAGAAGAAAAGAAAGGAAAGGAAAGGAGAAAGGAGAAAGGGGAAATGGGAAAGGGAAAAGGAAAGGGGAAGGAAAGAAGGAAAGAAGGGAAGGGGAAGGCCGAGGCCTGAGCTAAAATGATGTATTCAAATGCTTCGTACATGCATTGCAGAGGGGAATCAAGCCTAGGTCTATTGTAATAACAATAGGAATCAGTCTTATTCCCCATTTATTATCAGCCTGGGGGTATTACCTGGGTTATCTCACTCAGTTCCAAGACTGGATATTATTTTATTCCCATTTTGTAGATGAAGAAACAGGAATGGAGAAGTTAAGATCACAAGTTTGAACCCTGGCAGTCTTGGCCCCAGAGGCTAAAAATCTTAACAACTATACTGATAACACTCAATGCTTCAAACATTTGATATGTCAACAAACAAACTAGAAAACTTGAGCCTGGGAGGTCGAAGCCACAGTGAGCTGTGGCCTCGCCACTGTAACAAACAAACAAACAAAAAAATTAGAAGCTATTTGTAATGGAATTTGGTTTTGTATTATTCTGTGTCTGATAAAGCTGGGCTATAATGTGACACTTTGTCAATAGATGCCATATCTAACAAACAACAAGTATCTTATTTTGATAATTTTTTTCAGGCTACTAATGACTTCAAGAACATCAGAATAATGCAATAGAAGGAATTTGGAATAAAAAAGTGATTCTTTTGAACCAGCTCTACTACTTATTGGTTTTGTGACATTTGGTAAATTACTCAACTTCCCTGAGCCTCAATTTTTTTTTTTTTTTTTTTTTTTTTTTGTGAGACGGAGTCTCGCTCTGTCGCCCAGGCTGGAGTGCAGTGGTGTGATTCGGCTCACTGCAAGCTCTGCCTCTCGGGTTCACGCCATTCTCCTGCCTCAGCCTCCCGAGTAGCTGGGACTACAGGCGCCCGCCACCTCGCCCGGCTAATTTTTTGTATTTTTAGTAGAGACGGGGTTTCACCGGGTTAGCCAGGATGGTCTCGATCTCCTGACTTCGTGATCCGCCCGCCTCAGCCTCCCAAAGTGCTGGGATTACAGGCGTGAGCCACCGCACCCGGCCTGCCTCAATTTTTTAATTTGTAAAAAGAAATAATGTTTTACTAGTGTTCCCCCCTTTTTCCTTCTTTCATGTCTTCAGTGAGATAATGTGAAAGTAGTTTGCAAATGATCAAAGGTTATGTGACAGTAAAATGTGGTTATTATGTAATTTTGGAATTCTGGGGCAGGCACAATAGGTGGCTCACACCTATAATCCCAGCACTTTGGGAAGCCAAGTAGGGAGATTGCTTGAGGCCAGGAGTTCAAGACCAGCCTAGGCAACATAATGAGACCCCCATCTCTACAAAAATGGTAAAAAGTAGCCAGGTGTGGTGATGCATGCCTGTACTCCCAGCTACTCAGGAGGGTGAGGTGGGAGGATTGCTTGAACCCAGGAGTTTGAGGCTGCAGTGAGCTATGATCTGGTTATTGCATTCCAGCCTGGGCGACAGAGCAAGATCTTGTCTCAAAAAAAAAAAAAAAAAGAAAAGAAAAGAAAAAAAGAAATTCTAAATATCACGTTTACTTAGAATTTGTTCTTGTTTTGCCAGGCGTGGTGGCTCACGCCTGTAATCCCAGCACTTTGGGAGGCTGAGGCGGGCAGATCACAAGGTCAGAAGATGGAGACCATCCTGGCTAAGACAGTGAATCCCCGTCTCTACTAAAAATACAAAAAATCAGCCAGGTGTGGTAGTGGGCACCTGTAGTCCCAGCTACTTGGGAGGCTGAGGCAGGAGAATGGCGTGAACGCGGGAGATGGAGCTCGCAGTGAGCCAAGATCGCGCCACTGCACTCCAGCCTGGGAGACAGAGCGAGACTCCGTCTCAAAATAAATAAATAAATAAATAAATAATTTGTTCTCATTTTTGTTGTTGTTGTTGTTGTTGTTTGACACACGGAGTCTTTCTCTGTTGCCCAGGCTGGAGTGCAGTGGTGTGATCTTGGCTCACTGCAATCTCCACTTCTGAGGCTCGAGCAATTCTCCTGCCTCAGCCTCCCAAGTAGCTGGGATTACAGGCATGCGCCACCACGCTCGGCTAATTTTGGTATTTTGGGTAGACACGAGGTTTCGCTGTGTTGGCCAGGCTGGTCTCAAATTCCTAACCTCAGGTGACTCATCCACCTCGGCCTCCCAAAGTGCTGGGATTGCAGGCGTAAGACACCGCACCCAGCCTGTTCTTGTTTTTCTATGAGAATCTGTAATGTCTGCAAGTTTCATTACGCTTGCTCCCTGTTTCCAAGAGGCTTGTATGAAGGCGTCTCCTAAACTCTCTCCCACCCAGCAAACTGGAGGAACTAAGCACACTCATTCCTCCTTCCTTTTCTTTGGGATCTGCCTCCCTGCAGGGAGCATGTGTTCTTGGCTGTATTTTTCTTGTCGTAAGCTTAGAGGGCTGGCCCTGTACTTGTAAGAAGGGGCCTTTGGCTGTCCAGTGTTACCTGCCACTGGATGTGTAGGTCTAATTCAGTAGTGAGATATTTGTAAGCCTACTTGGCTGGCGTATCGGCAGATCTAAACCACATTCTCCACTACTGACTTCAGCAACACCGTCTTTCCACCTGTGTCAGTCCTGTCTGTCTCCCAGTGATTCTCAAACTTGGGTAAAGGAAAAGGATTATTGGGCTGGGCAGAGTGGCTTATGCCTGTAATCCCAGGACTTTGGGAGACCTTGACAGGAGGACTGCTTGAGCCTAGGAGTTCAAGATCAGCCTGGGCAACACAGTGAGACCCCATCTCTACAAAAAACAAAACAATTAGCCAGGCATGGTGGCCTGCACCTATAGTCCCAGCTACTTGAGAGGCTGAAGGAGGAGGGTTACTTGAGTCCAGCCAGTCGAGGCTGTAGTGAGCTGTGACTGTGCCACTGTCCTCCAGCCTGGGTGACAGAGTAAGACCTTGTCTCAAAAAGAGAAGAGAAAATAGGCTGGGCGCAGTGGCTCACTCCTGTAATCCTAGCACTTTGGGAGGCCAATGCAGGCAGATCACCTGAGGTTAGGAGTTTGAGACCAGTCTGGCCAACATGGTGAAACCCTGTCTCTAGTAAAAATACAACAATTAGCTGGGCATGGTGGCAGACGCCTGTAATCCCAGCTATTCAGGAGGCTGAGGCAGGAGAATTGCTTGAACCTGGGAAGTGGAGGCTGCAGCGAGCTGAGATCACGCCACTGCACTCCAGCCTGGCCAACAGAGCAAGGCCTCTAAAGAAAGAAAGAGAAAAGGAAGGAAGGAAGGAAGGAAGGAAGGAAGGAAGGAAGGAAGGAAGGACTATTAATTGGCTTTTTTTTTTTTTTTTTTGGAGACAGTTTCTCACTCTTACACAGTTTCTAACTCTTGCACAGGCCGGAGTGCAGTAGCATGATGATGGCTCACTGCAGCCTCTACCCCCGGGCCCATGTGACCCTCCTGTCTCACTCCTCCCCCCGTAGCTAGGGCTACAGATGAGCACCACAACACTCAGCTATTTTTTTTTTTTTTTTTTTTTTAAGAGACAGGGTCTTGCCGTGTTCCCCAGGCTGATCTTGAACTCCTGGGCTCAAGGGATCTGCCCACCTTGGCTTCCCAAAGTGCTGGGATTTCAGGCATGAACCACCATGCTCGGCCTTAATAAACTCTTAAAACTACCCAAATTATATGGTATTGAGGGCACTTAGAATGAAGAAGCGATAGGGACTGTATCTTTCTTTGACTTCTCAGGACCCACCCTCCTGCCCCAGGGCGCCCTTTGCCTTAGATGCGGGCACTTACTTAATGGCGTAGTTGCAGACCAGGTATGCCGCCCGATGCCAGGTGTTGCCCCGGACACTGATGCTGCTACAGGTGTGGATGGCGCAGCCCAGTCGATTGGAGGATGCCCACACCATCTGATGAAGGACAGAGACAGTGCAGGCTATGAGAAGGGCTCAGTGGGACCCAGGCTCCCTGGGGTTGTACAGTTGCACTGGGTGAGGTCGTCCTGGGAGAGACAGTCTGCCTGTTCCAAGGTGTTGGGGGAGGAAACGGAGGCATTTATATTGTAACATAATGTTCCTCAATCTTTTTTTTTTCTTTTTACTACAACAGTAGGGAATAATTTTTATATTGTTACAGGTGTACAAATAGACACACATATACACACAGTTTGAACAAGAATTTTATGAATCACTAGCCTTGTCATATTATCATGTGTGATATATTTTCTTTCATTTCATACTGAAGTCAGTCAAGGGCAGCTGTGAGAAGGGAGCTGGATCTGTAACTGACTGTAAACAATCAATTGAGAGAACGCACTACCTTCAGACTAGTCAATGTATTTTCTGTTTTCTGACAGTCACTAATGTTTTTATTTATTTATTTATTTGGAGACAGTCTCGCGGTCACCCAGGCTGGAGTGCAGTGGTGATATCTTGGCTCACTGCAACCTCTGCCTCCCAGGTTCAAGTGATTCTCCTGCCTCAGCCTCCTGAATAGCTGGGGCTACAGGCGTGCACCACCATGCCCAGCTAATTTTTTGTATTTTTAGTAGAGATGGGGTTTTGCCATGTTGTCCAGGCTGGTCTCGAACTCCTGACCTCAGGAGATCCACTCGCCTCGGCCTCCCAAAGTACTGGGATTACAGGTGCGAGCCACTGCGCCCAGCCATCTAATGTTTTTAATAATTTGAAATAAAGTATCTGGGCTTCTTATTTTTCTTTTCTTTTTTGGATTGTTTACCTTTTGTTTTAAGTTCAGGGGGACACGTTCAGTTTGTTACATAGGTAAACTCTTGTCACGGGGGTTTGTAAAGATTGTTTCATCACCCAGGAATTAGGCCTAGTACTCCTTAGTTATTTTTTCTGATGCTTTCTCTCCTCCTGCCCTCTACCCTCTGATAGGCCCCAGTGTGTGTTGTTCCCCCCTCCCGTGTCCATGTGTTCTCACCATTTAGCTCCCACTTATAAATGAGAACATGTGGTATTTGGTTTTCTGTTCCTGCATTAGTTTGCTAAGGATAATGGCCTCCAGCTCCATACATGTTCCTGCAAAAATACATGATTTTGTTCTTTTTTTATTAGCCAACATATTTTCTTTCTTTCTTTTTCTTTTCTTTCTTTTTTTTTTTTTTTTTTTTTTGAGAAAGAATCTTGCTCTGTTGTCCAGGCTGGAGTGCAGTGGCTCACTGCAAACTCTGCCTCCTGGGTTCAAGTGATTCTCCTGCCTCAGCCTCCAGAGTAGCTGGGATTACAGGCACCCACCAGCACACCTAACTAATTTTTTGGATTTTTAGTAGAGATGAGGTTTCATCATGTTGGCCAGGCTGGTCTTGAACTCCTGACCTCAGGTGATCTGCCCACCTCGTCCTCCCAAAGTGCTATGATTACAGGTGTCAGCCACCACATCCGGCCAACCAATATATTTTCTATACTTTTCTATTCATTTCCTTTTTAAATTATTATTTTTAGAGAGGTGGGTATCACTGTCACCCAGGCTGGATTGCAGTGGTAGGATCATAGCTCACCGCAACCTCAACCTCCTGGGTTCAAGCGATCCTCCTGTCTCAGCCTCCCAAGTAGTTTGGACTAAAGGTGTGCACCAACAAGCCTATTTTTTTTTTTTTTTTGAGACAGAGTCTCGCTCTGTTGGCCAGGCTGGAGTGCAGTAGTGCGATCTTGGCTCACTGCAACCTCTGCCTCCCGGGTTCAAGTGATTCTCCTGCCTCAGCCTCCCAAGTAGCTGAGATTACAGGCACACGCCACCACGCCTGGCTAATTGTATTTTCAGTAGAGATGGGGTTTCACCGTGTTAGCCAGGATGGTCTCGATCTCCTGACCTCGTGATCCACCCCCTTGGCCTCCCAAAGTGCTGGGATTACAGGCATGAGCCACGTCGCCTGGCCAAGCCTATTTTTAAAAAGGTTTTTAGAAATAAGGTCTTGCTATGTTGCCTAGGCTGGTCTCGAACTCCTGCATTCAGGAAATCCTGCCATCTCAGCCTCTCAGGTTACCGGGATTACAAGCGTGAGCCACTGCACCCAGTCGTTTTCTTTCTTTATATATATATATAACTATTTTAATTTTGGGAGGTGGGGACGGAGTTTCGCTTGAACCTAGGAGGTGGAGGTTGCAGTGAGCTGAGATCTCACCACTACACTCCAGCCTCGGCAACAGAGTGAGACTCTGTCTCAAAAAACAAACAAACAAACAAAAAACAGAAACGATTCACCTCAGGTTCAGTGTGCGCACAACTTGCCAGGAATATGCTTCTTTGGTGAAAAGAAGCTCATAAAGGTCTTTGTTTGCATTCTCATATCTGCTCCACACATTCCTTTTCTTCTAAGGCAGCAGGATGTGTTATCCCAGGGCCCCCAGCCCTGACGGGGAGTACCTGGGTATAGTGGGAGCAGGTGGGGCCATCGCAGTGCCAGGGGCAGTGTGGGTTACAGTCCCTCGGGGCGGGAAACAAGTAATGCCGCTTCTCCTCAGACCAGGACTTCATGAGATCCACCACGGACCGGTACCTGGGGAGGCGGGGGACACGAAGCTGGGTGAGAGGATGGAAAAGTGGCTCGGCCGCCAACTTGCTGGTGACCTTGGGTGAGTCACTTTGCTTCCTTTCCTTCATCTCAGTTTCCTATCTGGGAGCAGGAGGGCGGTGGCTCCTGCCTCACAGGCGTGTTCTGAACCCTTGTGAAGTGCCTCCCTGTACCTAGCACATGGTAAGTCCTCAACAAAGCATACGTGTTACTGTCATACAGAGGGCCGGGCAGGAGGTGCATCTCAGATGGGGGAGCTTGCATTTTAGGGAAGGAAGGGCTCCTTGGACCATCTCCTAGACCTCCGAGATGTGAGGAGAAGGCAGATACTGGTGTGACACCCTGAGATACCCTCTGCAGTCTGAAAAGCCATCTGGGGAGACCTGAGGGCCTTTTCTCTTTTTTTTTGAGATGGAGTCTCGCTCTGTTGCCCAGGCTGGAGTGCAGTGGTGTGATCTCAGCTCACTACAGCCTCTGCCTTCTGGGTTCAAGCAATTCTTGTGCCTCAGCCTCCCAAGTAGCTGGGACTGCAGGTGTGCACCACCACGCCTGGCTAATTCTCGTATTTTTAGTACAGGCGGGGTTTCACCATGTTGGCCAGGCTGGTCTCGAACTCCTGACCGCAGGTGATCCGCTCGCCTTGGCCTCCCAAAGTGCTGGGATTACAGGTATGAGCCACCGCCCCCGGCCTTTGAGGGCTTTTTCTATCGCACATATTTGACAGAGGCACAAATACATAAAAATATACATAAATGACTAGTGAGGGAGAAAATCTGGAAAAATGCACATCCGTAATTTACGACAGCACAGCTTCGTCTCTAACACCGCTTTCTTTCTCTCTGTGAACCTCTCAAATGATGGCCATGGGTAGGGGTGGAGTCTGGCAGGAAGAGTTCACTGGCAGGGGAGAGGGGAAGTGAAATGGAGGTATCACCCGACGTCTGCTCTGTAGGGCTCTGAGCAACCATTCACGGCTCTCAGAGGTTGGTGCTGGTCATGACCAGTGAAGGACATGAAAAAACGCAAACAGGGCCTTGAATTTCCACTGAGCTCACTTGAAAAGACTAGTCTTAATTCTTTCCCACTCTCCCCGGGGTGATGGCAGAATGGCAAAGATGGGAAGGTAGTTGTTTTTCTAACGTCCTTATTTGGCAAAATAAAAATCGGACCATCTTGTAGCAGTTTCACAGATGTCTTTTTGCAATTGTATAGGCCTGTGAAATCCACAAGTCTGGAAAGAACTGAGCTAGGCTAACACCTTTGTTTTAGAAACAGGGACACCAAGGTTTAGAAGTTTAGAAAGTGGAAATAACTTCCCAAGGCCACCCAGATCAGAAGATCCCCAGAGTCTGACTTGGGAGTCAGAATGGCGGTGAGAAAGTCAGGCCAGAAGGGTGGGCTTGCCATTCTCAGACTTATCTTTATTTTATTTTATCCCCTTATTTTTATTTTATTTTATTGATTTATTATTTATTTTTGAGACACAGTCTCACTCTGTCACTCAGGCTAGAGTGCAGTGGCGCAATCTCAGCTCATTGCAACCTCTACCTCCTGGGTTCAAGTGATTCTCCTGCCTCAGCCTCCCGAGTAGCTGGGATTACAGGCACCCGTAATGCTGGGCTAATTTTTGCATTTTTAGTAGAGGCAGGGTTTCACCATGCTGGCCAGACTGGTCTTGAACTACTGACCTGAAGTGATCTGCCCACCTCAGTCTCCCGAAGTGCTGGGATTAGAGGTGTGAGCCACTGTGCCCTTATTCTATTTTCTGAGTCTTCCAATCCCTCCTCACTTTCCACGACGATCTGTGCACTTGTTTGTTCTCAAAACAAGACTTGCCTCAATTCAATGTATACACAACTTTGTTAGGGTTTTGCCTGCCCCTCCTAACTAGAATGCAGGCTCCCTGCAGGTGGAGAGCTTGTCTGCCTTGCTCGCCACTGTATCCCAGTGTACAGAGTAAGTGTTCAGAGTAAGTGTTCAATGAGTGTTCGTTGAATGACTGAGTGAAGGAAGGGCAGAGGGTCACTCACTGGCCAGAATGGATGGAGAGGTTCTGGCCCACATATCTCATCAGCTGTGAAGGCCCATGTGCCCAGATGCACTGGGTGGCCCAGGCCTCGGCAGCCCTGGCCAGCCGCTTGTCCCAGACCTGGGGAAAGAAAGGCAATGAAATTCCCCAGGGGAATAGCCACCATCATCACAACTGTGTCCAGAGATGCACATTTACCTGGTGCCTGTTCTCCCCCATCTCCCTGGAACCCTACAACGAACCCCCGTGACAAAGTAGAAGACTGAGGCTCAGCTCGCTGATGACTTGAAGGGCAACCGTGAGTCCATACCAGAGCTGGGGTCCACACCCAGATCTCTTGACTCTGAGCTTGGGCTCTGCTCTGAGCAGGGTCGAGGGTGTTCATACAGGAGTTCTCAGCAGTCCCTGGAACTGACTGAACCCAGAAGGATGAGAAAATAACTAATTCTTAAATTGTATTTATAGTATTTTCTTTTTCTTTCTTTCTTTTTTTCTTTTCTTTTCTTTTTTGAGACAGGATCTCACTCTGTCACCCAAGCTGGAGTGCAGTGGCGCCATCTTAGCTCACTGCAACCTCTGCCTTCTGGTTCAAGCCATCCTCCCACCTCAGCCTCCTGAGTAGCTGGGACTGCAGGCGCGTGCCACCACACCTGGCTAATTTTTGTAGACACAGGGTTTTGCCATGTTGCCCAGGCTGGTCTCCAACTCCTGGCCTCAAACAACTCACCGGCCTCAGCCTCCCAAAGTGCTGGGATTACAGGGCACTGCGGGAGGCTGAAGCAGGTGGATTGCACCCAGCCTTGCAGTATCTTCTAAATGTGTTTATTTTAACATTAAAAATGTTTAATTCGGCGGCCGCCATGTTTGTCTTGTCTTGTGTTGTCTTGTGTGTTCATTCCTTTGTTTAGGAAACACGCGGACCCCAACATCTGGCGCAGCGAGCAGGGTCCATGGCTCCACGAGAGCAAGGAACCGGAGGAGGAACACCCCGGGCAAGTGCCGGAGACGAGTGGTTTCCATTTCGACGGTTGAAACAGTGCCATGGCGAAGAGGAGCCAATCCAAAGAGTTCCTGAAGGAATTCCAGGAGCTAAATCTGAGCGCTCAGAGAACATTCACCTTCGGAACTCGTGCGGAGCGCCTGACATGGGGACAACTGCAACAGGATGCTCACACAGCCATCAAAGAAAGAGAAGCCTCGCTAAGAGCTCTAAGGAAAGATTCCACTCCCCAACCAACTCTTTCTGTACAGCCTGGAAAGCAGTGAAAGCATATAAAACCAGCACTGAGGAAACTTACCCATGAGACCAGATGCAATCTGTCTACCAAGGATGGAAAAATGACAAGGTAACTATTTGGAAAACTGCCTCTGACAGCTTGTGTAAGAAGACTTTTAATTTGATTATAAAAATCAAACTATAACAGTTGTGCTTTTAATTAGATGTGGAATTCACTTAAGGTTGACTGAAGGCTTTGATGGACGGGGATTTGGATGTTTTAGGGTACATTTAATGATGTAAAAAAGTAAGAGCTCTACTTCCAGTTCTAGGAGTCCAGGCCTCTTTGAACCCTAAGACAAAGCTATCCTCAACTTCTGTGGATGTCAGCAACATCATTCTCATGTTCATCAAATATGTTCCTAGCATGGAACACGAAGCTTTGTAGTTAATAAAGTGGTTTCCCATACAGCAAAAAACAAAACAAAAAAAAAAATGTTTAATTCAAAGGCTTTTTTAAATTGTGAAAATATGCATAATTTTAATATGTAAGATATCCATCTGGGCATGATGGCTCACGCCTGTAATCTCAGCACTTTTGGGAGGCTGAGGCAGGCAGATCACTTGCAATCAGGAGTTCGAGACCATCCTGGCCAACATGGAGAAACCCCCTCTCTACTAAAAATACAAAAATTAGGCCAGGCATGGTGGCTCACACCTGTAATCCCGGCACTTTGGGAGGCCGAGGTGGGCGGATCACCTGAGGTCAGGCGTTCAAGACCAGCCTGGCCAACATGGTGAAACCCTGTTTCTACTAAAAATATAAAAATTAGCCGGGTGTGGTGGTGGGCACCTATAATCCCAGCTACTTGGGAGGCTGAGGCAGGAGAATCACTTGAACCTGGGAGACGGAGGTTGCAGTGAGCCGAGACCGTACCATTGTACTGCAGCCTGGGCAACAAGAGTGAAACTTTGTCTTAAAAAAAAAAAAACAAAAAACAAAAATTAGTCAGGCGTGGTGGCGTGTGTCAGTGGTCCCAGCTAATTGGGAGGCTGAGGCACAAGAATTGCTTGAACCCAGGAGGCAGAGGTTGCAGTGAGCTGAGATCGTGCCACTGCACTCCAGCTTGGGCAACAGCAAGATTCTGTCAACAACAACAACAAAAATAGATATCCAAGGAGGAACAGTAGAAAGTCTCATCTCTCTCCTATACTTGTCCCCCAACCCCACCACCCTGCATGCCATCCCAAGAGGCAGTCACCACTGCTTCTTATGTCCTCTGTATACAGGTATATATTCTGTACCTGTACAAGCAGCTCTCTCTATATAGACACACACACACACACACGCACACACACACATACACATATGCAAATGGAAGCATTCCATTCTGCACCTTGCTCTTTCATCTTAGGGATTATTCCCCATCAGTACATGGTGAATGCCCTCCTCATCTTCCTTAACAGTTTTATAACCTTCCAATGTATGAACTCCCCAAGTTTTATAACCGGAAAATATGTCAATAAAATATGAGTTCCCTTCCAGCTCTGACTTCCTGGGATTCTCTGAGATAGGATTTGTTCATTCATCAAATATCAAACAACATCTCTAGGCACTGAGGACTCAGGGTAGCAAGGCAACAAGGCCTTCAACAAGTCGCTGATCATTATAGTCCTGGTCGGTGTGAGAATGAGGAATGGGAGGCAAACTTTCTTGGGGCAGTGAGAGAAGGGCTGCTGGGACAAAGACTGTTGAGTTGGACAGCCTGTTCTGTGAGTAGAAGTCAGCTAGGGAGGGAGAAATGGGGCATCCAAAGAGGGATCCAGGTACCTTCCTTCCCAGGGTTGTCTGGCCCAATCTTTTTTTTTTTTTTTTTTTAAGATAGAGTTTCACCCAGGCTGGCAGGATCTCAGCTCGCTGCAACCTCCGCCTCCCAGGTTCAAGCGATTCTCCTGCCTCCACCTCTCAAGTAGGTTGGGATTACAGGCGCCCATCACCACACCCAGCTAATTTTTGTATTTTTAGTAGAGACTGGGTTTCACCATGTTGGCCAGGCTGGTCTGGAACTCGTGACCTCAGGTGATCCACCCGCCTCGGCCTCCCAAAGTGCTGGGATTACTGGCGTGAGCCACCGCACCCGGCCGTCTGGCCTAGTCTTTTAGGGAGAGCTGAGGAATGCTTCCCTCATGTTGCATTGGGGTAAACTGAGGGGAGGAGCAGGCTAAACATGAAACCTACACGTTCATGCCCTCCCTGGGGTCCCTGGTGAAACATCGAACCCTTTCTGCTCCATGACGCCTGCAGTCATTAAACAGCTGTTGGGGCAGGTGCCACACACACACAACAGGTGCTCAATAAATGTGCCATTTGTTTGAAAAATGGAGGGCGTTCTAGGTGCTAACAAATGAATGAACAAGTCAATGACTCCCCTGTGTTCTAGCTGCCTGCCATCCCAGCTCCTATTCCCCCCAGCCCTCCCAACACCGTATTGCCACCTCACGTTACCTTATATATATTAATATCTTGTTGTTGATGCTTGTTTTCTTATTCCCACTAAAGTGTCAGCTCCATGAAGGAAGGAGCCTTGCCCATTCTGTTCCCAGCAGTGTCCATAAGGCTTAGCACGGTACCTGGTTCCAAGTGTACTCCAAGGATAAGTCAATGGATACAATGAAAAAGTTAAGTTTTCAGGCTATCGAGTGGCATGTGTTGGTCTTTCAGGGGGCAGACTGGCAAACTCCCTAAAGACATCTCTGGTGGGCTGGAAACCCATCCCTCTAGGCTGATTTTGGACAATGGCCCTGGGGGAGGAGCTGTAAGAAAGAGGTTGGTGCCCTCCTCTGACTTCTTGGGGGCTGGAGTGAGCGCCACCAGCCCTGCCTCTTTGAGGGGAGACATCCCAGCTTCCTCTGCTGATCAGCTGCTGGTTTTCCTGAGCCTGAGATTCCCCAGTACCTGTCCCCACTGCTCCAAGCCTGCCTCCAGCGGCTTGTGGAGGATGGTGTGGGTGAGTCAAACCCTTAGGGCAAAGAGACAAAGCATGGAAAGCACCAGCCACACACCCCTGTGCAGGTCCCCAGTGTGGGGAGCCAAAATGTTTGGGTAGGGGATTGCGATGGTTAACAGTTGTGGTGATGCCAGGTGGCAGCAGGCAAGCCTGGTTTGAAATCCTGGCTGAGTGACCTTGGGCAAATTAATTCTCTGAGTCTCAGTTTCTTCCTCTGGAAAATGGAGATGATACTCACGTACAGTGCCTGGTGCACAAAGGCGTCCCTTACATAGTAGTCCCATGCCCCTGACTCACTGGAAGAGCTGTGTAACTTCCTTAGTTTCCTCATCTGTAAAATGGGCAGATTAACTCCTGCCCTTTCCACAGGTCGACACCCAGATACTGGCTAGTGGGGCCAGGCAGGCAAGTGGTCCAGCTCTTAAAAGCCAGTCATTCTAGGCTAAGATGAGTTGGCTGCATTTGCCAGAAGGGGCACTGCAGGGGGTGGAGGGGGCGGGCATGAGGACTCACCATGTATTCCATGTTGGCAGCAGGTGGGTACACGCTGGCTCGGATGTGGTTGTGATAATCCAGTAAGGCATTCATGTCTCTCACAGAGATGTGGCGCCTCCGGCGGTACCTGGGCACCCCCAGGCCACTCGGGAGCCGCACAGCTGTGCTCTCAGGCGGGGCTGGGGCCGGGGTAGCATTAGGCATCATCAAGGCGTTCACTGCTTGGCTAGCCCAGAAGAGCAGGCCTGCCAGGCCCATGGTGCTAGGCAGCAGGGGCATAGCTGGATGGAGGGGTCACAGGTCTGTCTGCCTCGTGCAATCAGAGCCAGCTGCCGAAGGGGTAGGCACGAAGCAGGGTAGGTTTGTCCCCGCTTTGCTGCAATTTAGGAATTGAGAATGAGACACAGAGAAAACCCAATGGCAGAGAAAGAAAGAGGCAGAGAAAAAAGAGAGACCAAAAAGGGGACAGAAAAAAAGAGTTACAGAGAAAAAAGAACGAGAAATAGAAAGGTAGAGAGATACGGGAGCACCAGACCCTGAGCGTTCTCCAGCAGTGCTAACCCAGAGGATGCTGCCTCCTGGGAACCTGGCAAAGACCTCTGGATGCAGCTCTGGTCCAGATGCCCAGCACCCCTTCCTTTCCACCCCAGGGGACTGAGTGGGTTGGGCAAGGGGAAAAAATGCCCAGACAGTGGCTAATCCAGACATGGCCCTGGAGTGAGATGGTGCCACCACTTCAAAGCCAGGGCTCTGTCCCTCCAGCCGAGGAGACAGACAGCAGCCCTCTCCGGCCTAGACATCGTCTTCACCAATCCTGCTTGAGTGGGCTCAGTCAATGCCCTGGGAGGGCAGGGCCCACCTTACCCCAAGGCGTATTGCAGGGTCCTTTTGTCCCTTGTTTGCTGCAATTTAGGAATTGAGAGTGAGACACAGAGAAAACCCAATGGCAGGGAATGAAAGAGGCAGAGAAAAAAGAGAGACCAAAAAGGGGACAGAAAAAAAGTTACAGAGAAAAAAGAATGAGAAATAGAAAGGTAAAGAGAGAAGACAGAATGAAAGAGAGGCAATGATGTGACTGGGGGAGGACAGAAATAGAGAGAGAGAGAGGCAGAAACAGAAGAAGGAGCGATAAATTGGCTTAGAGAAGAGACAAAGAAGCATGAGAAACCAGGCAGGAGGCTCCAATGGTGCGTACCCAGGACGGGCAGCCCAGGCGGCTTCAGGAGGCAGCCGAGCAGGCAGCGGACCTCTGCAGACACCCTCGCCCACCTGGCAGCGCAGCGACTTTAAGGGTCCCCTGGGCGCTGTTGGCATCTGACGTCCCTGGCCCCACAGCCCCCTCCCCTTCCAACCAGGCCAGACTCCTGCAGGGAGGCTCCGCCTGCTGCTCCGTGGGCTTTTCTCTCCCGCCCCCTCTCTCTCTGCTTTCACCTGAAGCGTGTAGGGCTGGGCTGGGCAAATGGTCAGGGTAGTGATGTAGCAACAGGGCAGGGATTCCAGGAAAAAATACTCATCCCCTACGGAAGATCCCAGACCCCGAGGCTTCTCTCTGCCTTCCACATCCTGACATATTAAAGCCACCTTGCCATCTGGAGAGTATTTCTGACTATTTTCCCTACAACACCCTCCAGCCTTGGAGTAGGCAGTTAATATGGCCCATCTAGTGAGCCCCTGCTATGTGCCAGGCCCAGGGTTGAGTGCTTTACACACAAGCTCAGCCAACCCTCAGAAGCCGGCACTATAGTTCCTCATTTCACAGATGAGGAAACTGTGCCCCAGAGAGGAGAAAGAACAAGCCCAAAGTCAAGCCAGTTAGTCTGCAATCACACCAGGATTTAAATCCAGATCTGACCCCAGGCCCGGTTAGTATCTAAAAAGGATGGCCCTGCCCTGCCCTGCCCTGCCCTGCCCTGCCCCGCGCCCCCCCGCGCCCCCCCCCCACCTACCCTCACCTCCCCTCACCTCCCCTTCCTTTGTTTTTTGTCTCACTTTGTTGCCCAGGCTGGAGCACAGTGGCACAATCTCGGCTCACTGCAACCTCGATTCTCCTACCTCAGCCTCCCAAGTAGCTGGGACTACAGGTGCACACCAACAAACCTGGCTAATTTATGTATTTTTTAGTAGGGATGGGGTTTCACCATATTGGACAGGCTGTCTTTCTTTTTTTTTCTTTTGAGACAGAGTCTCGCTCTGTTGTCCAGGCTGGAATGCAGTGGCACAATCTCAGCTCACTGCAACCTCCACCTCCCAGGCTCAGGTGATCCTTCCACCTCAGCCTCCTGAATAGCTGGGACCACGGGTGTGCACCACCACACTTGGTTAATTTTTTAATATTAGCCAAAGATGCTATTTTCTAACCAAACCAAATATAGATGCATAAGGAAAAAAGCCTAGGGGAATGTTCGTCATGATACCACCCAAACACAGCCTATTCATTAGCAAATTAATTAAGCCCACAAATCTGGGTTCAAATCTCCATTATCCCGCCCCCTCACTAACTAGGTGTTGGGAAAGTTACTCAACCTTTGTGTGCCTCATCTGTAAAATGGGAGAAATAATGGTGCCTACATTGTAGCCTTGCTTCGAGGATGAAATGAGTGAACATTTGTGGAGCCTTAGTACAGTGGCTGGCACACAGTATGCAGTCTAGGATTGTGTGTGTGAATGTGTTTGTGTGTACGTGTGTACTTATGAGAGTATGCACTTGTGTATGAATGTACAAGCATACTTACATGCGTGTGTGTTTGAGTGTTCTTGGATCACATGTGTCCCCAGGTGAATGTATGAGTATGTAGATAATGGACGTGTGTGTGTGTGTGTGTGTGTGTGTGTAAAGTCTCATTGGTCTCTGAGTTGCTGAAGTCCTAGGTTAAGAGTTCAATTTTCTTCTCTTTCATTACTTGTATTCCCCAAAAATAACAAGCATTACTTTTGAAATACAAGGGGATAGACTTACAACAGAAAGGTGTTATATAAAAAACACAGATGAAGAATTTGCAATCCTCAGACTACTCTTCTAGCAACCTCTGAGGATTCCCAGGCTGAACCTAGTCTCGGGGAAGCAGGCCAAACCCTGGACCAGTCGGTGAAGCAGGGCTGGGGGCTGGGACTGGACTACTGCAGACGGGTCCCCTCCAGACATGTGGAATTCCCACCACAGGCAGCCCAGACAGTGCGGCTGCCAAAGCACACACCTTCCTGCTGCAGCAGTGACGGCTGGATGCTGGGGAAGGCGGCGAGGGCAGAGCAGTGAGGGGTGAGGGCTGCAATCCCTGACCCCTATGGGGTTTCTCCCACTATGCCAGAAGGACAAGAGAGACTGGTTCGATCTAACCCCATCTCTGCCTCCAGCGTGCTGGGTGTCTTGAGGCAAGTTCTTACCCTTCTTTGGGCCTTGGATGTCCCAGTGAAGAAATTGAACTGAAACTGCTGCCCCCAGTGAAGAAGGCTGTTCCCAGTTTCGCTTTGGTAGGTTTCCAATTCTGGCTCTTCTGACTACAACAGGCTGGGATCTTCGGTACACCAGGGCGAACTCTGCAGCCCACACAAACAGCGTTGGCACTTAGGAACCCAGGAGTGTCAATAAGTAAGCCCGGCTCTCTCAGAACACATAGCACAAGCCACTACTATGTAACTGGCACTTTGCAATGGCTCAGAACTTCACATCCTCAATTCACTTGGGCCTCACAGCTCCCTTTGGGGTAGTGACTCCACCCATTGTACAGATGAAGGTACTGAGGCACACGTGAGCCTCAGTGACTTATCCTAGGGATGGAGACTGTTTGAGGAAACTCTTTTTTTTTTTTTTTAAGATGGAGTGCAATGGTGCGATCTCGGCTCACCACAACCTCCCCTCCTGGGTTCAAGCAATTCTCCTGCCTCAGTCTCCAGAGTACTGAGATTACAGGCATGTGCCACCACGCCCGGCTAATTTTTTGTATTTTTTAGTAGAGACGGGGTTTCTCCATGCTGGTCAGCTTGGTCTCCAACTCCCGACCTCAGGTGATCCGCCTGCCTCGGGCTCCCAAAGTGCTGGGATTACAGGCATGAGCCACTGCGCCCGGCCCTGCGGAAACTCTTAAAATCCAATGCCCCAGGTTCTTCAAAAGACAAACTGTAAGGAAACAAAGGGGATGGGAGGTGAATTACTATAGACTTAAAGGCTATACATTTGGGTGTAAAACTGTAAAGAAACAAAGAAATACTATAAAGGCAGGCTAGGGTGTGGCATTTGAGGGGCTTTTATAAATATATATATATATACGTGTCTGTATATATATACACACACATATATATATATATAATTTTTTTTTTTTTGAGACGGAGTTTTGCTCTTTATGCCCAGGCTGGAGTGCAATGGCACGATCTCAGCTCACTGCAACCCCCTCTTCCCAGGTTCAAGCGATTCTCCTGCCTCAGCCTCCCAAGGCGGGATTGCAGGCGCCCGCCACCATGCTCAGCTAATTTTTTTGTATTTTTAGTAGAGAGAGGGTTTCACCATGTCGGCCAGGCTAGTCTCAAACTCCTGACCTCATGTGATCCACCTGCCTCAGCCTCCATCCCAGCACCCATCCTCCCAAAGCGCTGGGATTACAGGCATGAGCCACCGCACCCGGCGGGGCCTCTATTTCTTGATCTGGCCTGTGGTTACAAGCTGTTTAACCTCATAATAACCTAGTAGGTTCCATGTTTGTTCTATGTGACTTTCAGCATTAGTGTTTTACTTAAAAATAAAAAGGGGTTTTATGTGTGTGTGTTTTTTTTAAAGAAAATAACAACAGTAGCAATTTACACAGTGACACCTTCCATCTGTTACCTCTTAACCACGCAGGAGAAATTTAACCTCCTTTTAACAGTTGAGGACACTGAGGTTCAAAGACAGAAGCAACTTGCCCAAAGTTGTACAACAAGTAAGTCTGGGAGCCGGGACTTAACCCCCATAGCTTGATGAGTCTCCACAGCACAGCGGTGGTTGGGCTGCTGATGGCAGTCCCTGGCCCAGCAAGGCGGGGTTGGAGAGGTCTCACAACAGATTCCGAGAAAGAGACTCGGGAAATGAATCACACACAGAAAAATCTCTGAGCTCCAGGCTCTGTCTTCTGCCCTCTGCACTCAGATAGCAGTGCGCCGCCTCTGCAGATCACCCCAAGGGAGGCAGGACCATCTAATGAGCATGGACCAGAGCTGTGGATTCTGATAACTCTGAGCAACCTGGAACAAGTCATGGGTTTTCTCTAAGCCTTTGCTAATCTGTAAAATGGGAACAATTAATAGGTGCTGGCCAGGCATGGTGGCTTATA